TTCAGGGGCCAAAATGGACCAGCGAAGTGGGTATAAAAAGCCATTGCACTTAATGGATACATGAGGGAGCAAGTGCCGCTCAAGTCACGCGCAGTCTGCTGACACAGAGTTTGAAGTCATTCAAAGCAATATTTCACTGTGGAAATAGCATTATTCTGAGGGATCAGTCTTCGGTGGGACCATTGCCGGGGTGCAAACTCTCTGTGAAAGGTCGAGCTAGTGAGGAGCGCTTGTCACATATGGAGGCGATGAACAAATTAACTGGCAAACAATGTTTGTAATCGAGGAACCAGAAAGGAACCTGTTGGGCAGAGAAATGGGGCGCTGAAGCGTGCAGTCGCAGCGTTAACCTTCGTATGCCTGTGTTGAATTTGTTCCCTGGAAACTGGGGATTGTGCATGGAGGCACCAAAGCCTGCCGTCGGAAACGCGGAGCATTCAAGAGGCCAAATACCTGAGAAAGCGTTGTTTTCTCGGGAAATTCCTCGGTGCCAGCCTAGTCAGGAGATACTCAGCAGACGGGGGCAGACGGCTGGGCACTCTGAATTGACATCGACGACCACCTGTCGCATTCTTAGTCATTGGCTTGTTCTAGCATTGTTGCCTTGACTGCAACCCATCACTTCTGGATTAAATATATATATATATATATATATATATATATATATATATATATATATATATATATATATATATATATATGTTATTATATATATATATATATATATATATATATATATATATATATATATATATATATATATATATTATATATATATATATATATATATATATATATATATATATATATATATATATATATATATATATATATATATATATAAACAACAGCAGCAACCGTCCAGTGCCAGTACAGTTCGTACTGTCTGTCACGCCCGCAAAATTTCCGAGTGCAAAAACTTTCCCTCTTAGCAGTGGGGCAAGGGGAAGTAGCCTAAAACAGTTGGGATATGCAATTCCGTTGCGATGAGACACCGCTCTCATACGCCCAAGTACGTCAATACCCCACAGTGCAATTATTTAACGCTTTCTCTCGGCGTGACGGTGCGTAGTATGTACGTGAAGGCAATAAGTCGTACTCCGCCCGTTTCTCATGCGTAGGTCGTTGCAAGCTAAGTTGTTCTATTCGTTTTGCCATATCGGTTCTTCTCCTGCGTATAACGCTTGTCCCTTGGACTTTATCTGGGA